TAAGGCAACAGTTAGGCCTTCGTGATAACAACAGTCGTTGTGAACCTTTGGAAATACATCAGTCTTAGCAAGTTACAGTTAAATACGTTTGGGTTAAACTAATTATAAATCCAGGACTTAGGAATAAATCAGTAGATTACTACGTATATTAAAAAGAAACAACTCTCGAACACCTTGTTTAACTGTAGCGATCCACCAAAATCGCACGTTAACTGTGCTCTTTTTTCAATAAATATCAAATAGGTATTAGATTTGCCAAAAAAAATAATTCGCTTTATTACAAGTTTAAGGCCCTTTTGGCTGATTTTTTTTTGTTGAAAGTAAAATAAAATTCCAATAAAATGCCCCAGATCTATACCTTAAAAGATCTGGATAATGATAATAAACTTGGAAATTCTTTAGCTAAATATTATCCCCCTAGCTGAACAGAGCTTGAAGATCAGCTTTCTTGCACAAAAAAAGACCGTGAAGTTGCTATATATTGGGGAGTCAGTTTACAGATAGTTATGATGTCTTAGATAGAGAAAATAAGCGCATACAGGATGACCTTAATCAATCAAAAAAAGAAAGTAAGCGTATACAGGATGATCTTAATAAATCTAAAAAAGAAAAAGAGAAATTTTCCAATTGGATATATCAGCTCAAAGAAGAGATAATACGGTTACAGTCAGAGATAAATGATCCTAAGCTTGGAGATGAGATAAGGCAGTTACGCTTGAAGATAAATAATCTCAAGCTTCAAATCACTTGTAAAGATATTTCTCTTGCAGATGCTGAGAACAAATTCAATATAAAATCAGAAGAGATGCAAGTCTTCCAATCCAAAGATGACAGAAGAGATGCAAGCTCTCCAATCTAAGGTGAAGAAATTAGAGCAGAATATTTCTTTAGCATAGGAGAACTTATCAGAAATAGACTCTTTCAAGCTTAAATTTAAATTAGAAAAAGTTGAACTATCTAATAAAAACATTGGTTTATTTTAACGAAAGAAGAATTAGAAGATTCACTAGCTGAAAAAAAGGATGAATTACTATAAATGAAGGATGATTTAGTTTCAGTGCAAAAGACATTAATGGAGAAAGAGTTCTTTTTTCAAGAAGCGGAGTCAAGCCAGCTCAAGAAATCATTAGCTGATGCTCATTTAGTAAAGCAGATTCCAAAAATATCTAGCGACTCTAAGCATAATGAGATAAGTAGAGGTGTTAGTAGACTGGAGAAAGATAATGATATCACTAGTTCTGAAACAACCTCAGTATCACCTAATTCTTTCTTTTTTCAGCTTATGATCTTTCTTATAATACTATTACTAATAATATGGTTTTCGCAGTCTATATTCTCTTATCTATATTCTTTTATTTCACCTTCCAATGAAGAAAAAAATATTCCAAAATATAAAATACCCTTTAATAGAAATCAGAATTATAGATTCCCAATCTGTTATGCAGAAGAACCAAAAAACAGAACTACTCCCTATGAAACTTTACCTTATGGATATGGATGAGACCATAAAGCACGAATTATCCCAAATTTAATCTCATCCTGCAAGTCCATCATGGCCTTTCTCAATGCTAGTCACTGGAAAGAGTGGATCAGGTAAGACTAATATTTTGGCGAATCTTTTTCTTGGTAATAAAGCTGAATGCATATACAAAAATAAAAAAGGTAGGTTTAGATATATTGCATGTGATGATTTGATAGTTTGTGATTATCAAAGCTGAAGTGGGTATTTGTAAGATATATGTATAGCATAATTTCAAAAGATCCAAAAGTGCCTTACTATGAGAATATACGATTTAGCTATGTATTGCCAGAAAAAATTCCTAGTGTTAGAGCATTTTCGCCTGAGAAAAACACAGCAATTATTTTTGAGGATCTGTGCCTCGCTCCAAATCATATACAGAATCGAATTAGCCAATTTTTTATACATGAATGTCATAGAAATATTTCAAGTATATATGTAATACAACGTTACCATCATACACCAATAATTATTTGTGAAAATATTTCACATCTAATAGTCTTTAATGGTGGTAGTTCCTATCAAGATATTTCCAAGATCATTGGATGATATACTGAAGATGTAAAAAATACCTCTATGGTTGTTAATAGTTACCTTCGAAAAGGTGAATTTATTGTTTTTGATCTAGATAAATCAGATGATGATCCACTGGCAATTCGGTTGAGATTTGATACTCCATTAAACCTTTAAAAAGAGGTAGAATTATGAGAGAAGCGAAAAAAAGGATCATAAAGATTCATTACGAATGAAATTAAAGTTTTGATTTTTTTGATGAAGAATCACCTATTTGCAATGAGAAAGTTGACAATAAATGATGCTTATGCAATTGCTAAAAAACGTGATGGGCTTTGTCTTTCTACTGAATATGTTAATGCTAACATTTCAATGCAATGGCGATATGCAAATGGTCATGAGTGGACTACTTCTCTTAATAATATCAAGAATGGTAAGACATGGTGTCCGTATTGTGCAAATAAGACCAGTCATACAATTGAAGATGTTAAGCAAGTTGCTTTTAGTAAGAATGGAGAGTGCCTTTCCAAAACATATGATAATAGTTTGTCACCTTTATCATGGCGTTGTTCTGAAGGGCATGAGTGGAATACATCTTTTAACAATGTGAAAAATAAAGGGAGCTTGTCTTTCTGAATATTATATTAATAATCATTCAGCTTCATTATGGATGTGTGATAAAAAGCATAGATGGTTTGCTACTTTTGATAGCATTAAACATTTAAAACTCGTGCCCATTCTGCCCGAAATATAAAAGAGAAAAGCTATGTCACGAGATTTTAGCAAAATATCTTGGCCCTCCTTCACTAATCCGCAGACCTAATTTTCTCAAAACACCAGAATGTCCCACAGGATTAGAACTTGATATTTATTACCCAGAATATAGCTTTGCAATCGAAGTACAAGGCGTACAACACGAAAAATATATCAAATTCTTCCATAATGGTGATCCCAATAATTTCACTAAACAGCAAGAGCGGGATCAACTCAAGAAAGAATTATGCGAAGAAAACTGTATTGCCTTGAGGTATGTTTGGTATTACGAAGACCCATATGTAGTTATTCCAGGGCATCTTCGTGAATTGGGTCTCATTGAATAAACTTAAAACTTCAAAATGCTTTATCGATTCATTCGTGATCATTACATACATATTTTTTTCCTGTATCTAGTCATGAAAATGATTTCCGCATTTTATTCGCTGAAGTAGATGCATATAACGTAATAAAAATCAGAGTAAAATTTCGACGACGGCCCATCGCCAAAAATTTGCAATCATGCATCGTATACCGATGGCGGAATATACATTATATGTTATATGGTACAATATTCACATTTATTTTGCTACAGCACGTGCGCGTTATATAAATTTCTAATTGATGTCTTAAAACTAACAGCATTATTACATGGTAGATTAAAATTACTCTTTTGCCCTTCTTGTACGAGTTATGCGACCGTGTTCACAAATGGAATAACTCATTGGACATGATGATGATCGTCGGGTTCGATATAATCTTGCTTTATCGATTAATATTTCGTGACGAATTTTCCGTATACGATGCAAAGTTTCCTATCAAAAAAAGAGTGTGAATTTCACAAAACAATAAAATACAACCACCGAGTCAAAGATTTCTAACCTCAACACGCAGCAAAGATATGATCAGTTTCTCTATAACTAGCAAATTATCAATTGATGAAGGTAACTTGACCTTCTGAAGTAGACCTAAACGCCAAACGCCTCTTGTTTTCCAATCTAATCCGTATACGTTATAATTATAATCTAAAATCAAATAGGTTTGGATATATTATTAAGAATGTACCGAAAAAAATTATGATTATTAAACTTACTAAATGTATGAACGCCGAGAGTGAAGAGATTGTGAAACTTGTCCGGTTTTACGCCATTATTTTCTATCCCTTCGTTTATCAACACATCCCGTAGAGCGACTGATAGATCCACTTTATCAATCCATTTTTTGCTTTTCGTCGCCGAGGGAAGACCACCAGATCTTAGCCCTATCAACATTTCGAACTGGTCTTGACTTATTCGAAAATCTACCTTCTGTCCGATCAAGCTTCTATCGGTAGGTTTAGTTTTCATGTTGGAAATTACTGATGAGGCGAGAGATTGAATCTCTCCTCTGCGCATTGCGAATTATTAATAGATGAATAAATTGCACAAACACATAACAAACAGCAAATAGCCGATGTAGACTTACTCTTCGTAGTGATAAATATTATCGAAGGTAAGTACCCCTTTGGTCATCATACTTGTGAAACTGCTACCAAATGCAGTTTCGGACATCGGCAAACGTAAGCGTTGTAGATTGTAGGCGCTATTAGGTTTAAAATAATTAGATCTTACAGCTATCAAAAACCAATATTATAAGTGGGCAAAAAAAAGAACTCACTATGTCTGAATCAGGCGCCGAATTGCATTTACTTTCGTATTATCCTACAAATGATGGTCATTAGAGCTTGTACTTTATAAGAAATCAATACAAGTGAAATACGTACTTCAATCACACAACTTTCAATTTCAGTTATTAAATCGGATGGTTCCTTCTTCAATTTCTAACATAAGAAGCGTGTACTTAGCTAACACGTTAAATAAAAGATAAATAATATAAATTTTGGTCCTAACCTCTGTTATCTTGTCCATTATTTCATAGATAGGCTCCTCCTGTTTGACGTCCAAATCGCTTAAATTAACGTTATTCACGAAATCCTTGATCATTTCATTCCATTCATCGTCCGTGAACAAATCCTTTACTTCAACATCTTCTCCAGAAAGATCTAAAATACCGAAATAGGCCGGGCTATAAACAACATTCGGTCAATAATATATTTGGACGTTGGCACTAAAAAATATGTTTGCAAACTGTAACTCACTATAGATATGCCTTGGTACGAGGAATTTTCTCCCGATATGCAGATAATATCTCACCAACGTTTTTTCCGGTTGATAAAGTCCAACTTACAACAGGATCAGTCAAAGTCTGAAGGATGATATTAGGTAAGCACAAAAAAAGATATAACAATAGGAAAAATATCAAAGTACCAACCCTCCCTGCCGAAATCTCTTTTTCAGATACTTGCACTTCATGATCTGAAACTACTTCATGATCTTCAGTGTCACTATCTGGTTTCGAGTTGGGTCGTGGCGGCGGTATTATATATTTATCCTGACGCTTTTTTGAAATTCGGTTCTCCTCATAATCTTCAGAATTTCGCCTTTTTCTATCACCCTTAAGTTCTTCATTGTATTTGATCTGACAAAATGTGTCAATTTATATAATCTAAACATATTAAACAAAAAAACAATAACTTCCATTCCATACCATTGTTTCATTAACGTTCTTGATGGAGGAATTGACACTTGCAATGGAATTCTTGAAGACTTCAGTAGTATCTTGTATAACTGAGCCAGAAGCCTAAGCCTACAATTGAAAAATTCATGAGAAGGAGTTTGTTTATAACAGAAAATTTATTAAATAAAACCTCAGCATGGCGTCTCTCGATTTGATTCCAGAGCATGTCAACGTCTCTGAAATATTTACGATGCCCCTATAATTGCTTGAAATTAGTAATCCGTTTTCATAGGAAAAGGCATTGCCGGAGACAAACACAACAGGCACGCAGACCGTAAGGTGATAGCACGCAGAATACCACCCTTAGTTGTGCGGGTTCCCTCCCGCAGGAGAGGTCATTCAACCTCAACGTGCAGTACAAATAGGACAAGATAGTAGGTGGCCAGCGCGCAGAATGGTCACTAAAATCTTGTTCAGCCTCCCTTAAGCCAGCCGGCAATGCAAGAATATGTTTGAAAAACTGAAGAGCTTTGCCTTATGAATATCGTCCAACTGTCTAGCAACATTCTTCATTTAATTTTGTGCGACTCCTTTCGAAAAGAGGAAGTAAAGTCTGGTTGTCTCTTCCTATGCTCATAAAAGCCTAGGAAACTATAATCTTTTGCAAGTGTTTCATCAAAATAGGCACTCCACATTGTAGATTCTTCGGTCATAGATACAGCTAAAAATGTAAAAGAAAAGTTATGTAAAAACGTAACAGGTAAAGAAATAATTCTTACGCGTCCTATCCGCCGCAGCATATGCTTAATTTTATCACATTTTGCAGATCATTTTGCCGATCATTTGCCGATCATTTTTCATTTTATCACATATAATA